TATCCACTTCAGCGTTTAAATTCAGTCACCACCCAAGCATTCCGATATTTGTTGTTATAATATATAGGAAAATGTTATAAGTCACAAATTTTTTATCAAATAATTGATTAAATATCTCACGTGAGTGTGAGGTTTACAAAATTACGGATCCCACACCTAATGTGAGATATTTAGTTATTTATTTTGTGAGATATTTGGTCATTTATTTAGTAAAAAATTTAGTATCCTTACTATTATGTATTTACTACTTTTAACTTTTAGTTTTATCTATAATCATATTATTTGAAAAATATATCAAATTTTATAATTAGAAACAATATTTAAGCATATTATATCCCATAATAAAAAGTTAAGTATTTAATGTTTTTTATTATTAAACTTTTAGCATCAAAATATTTACATACTAATCTTTTAAAACCTTTCAAATTTTCAATACAAATTTTTTAGTGAATTTAAAATTTAAAATTACATTTTTTTTAATATTTATAAATTACATATTCCTGTTTTAAGATTAAAATTATTGTAAATTAATTTTGAAAACTAAGTAATATGCGTATTTATCTTATTAAATGTATTCAAATACAAAGACAATGAATATTCAAACAGAAAAATCAATAAACACAAAATAATTATTTTTTCCATCTAAAGAAATTCATATGCATTTAAATAAAATAAAGGAGTAGACATATGTATAACAAGAAAATTGCAAAAATAAGTTGGGAAAGTTTAAGGGAAAATATCACATCAGTGGTGTTTTAAGAAAATAATTACGAATCAATGAAAATTTTTATAAATATTAATAATTATAATTATAAATTTTTTTATGACTTGTATTGGGGTATAATTACCCCAAAGTTTAATATATGTTTACTAAATGTTTCAAATTAAATTGCTTAAATTAAAAATAAAAATTGGTATAATAAATATTTTTATATCTTTACTTATTTGAAGAAAAAATTATGTGATTACCACAAATAGGAAATATTTTTATATCTTTACTTATTTGAAGAAAAAATTATGTGATTACCACAAATAGGATTGTGGGTTTGATTACCACAAATTTTGTGATTATATTATGAGAAATATTTATCTTATCAAATAGGATTGTGGGTTTGATTACCACAAATGTGATAACTCAATTCTACGAGAATCATAATTATAAAAAGAAAAATTATAACTAACATCACAATAAATTATAATCAAAGATCACAAAGGTAGTGACTGCAAGTACATATGGTATACATCTTATTTTTTCATAACATTCACCATGTTTGGTTCTAGAAAATTGAATTCATTTTTCAGAAAATTAAGTTTTTTTTAGTTTTTGTGCTTTTAGTGAAATTTTTTAATATTTTACACAAGTTTTATTTTATTTTTTAGATACACTTAATCTAAATACACTTAAAAAGTAAAATATTTGTGAAAAAAATTTTCCAAATGCAAAAAAATATAAAAATTCAATACATTTTCATATTTTGTTGTATTTAATTAATTTTTAAATGATTTTTGTACAGTTTATTTACTTTTTAAGTAAATTAAGATTAAGTGAATCTAAAAATTAAAAAAAATTAATTAAAATATTTTAAAAAATCATTAAAAATATAAAAATATGAATTGAAAACTCAAAATAATATTTTTGAAAAATGAAAACCAAACATAATGTATATTCATTAGTTAAAATAATTAAATTAATTTTTTTTTATTAATTTTAAAAAAAATTAATGAATATTAAATAATAAATAATGTGAAATAATACTCCTACCTCAACAATTGAGTTATTTGGGATGATCTAAGTTGTCATTCTATAAAAAGTTTTCAGCAATGATAGAGGCCCGAATTTCCCAGGCTCGAATGGCTCGAATTGACACAAAACGACGTCGTTTTGGACACAAAACAACACAAAATAACGTCTTTTTGGTCAATTCGAGCCATTTGAGCCGCGAATATTGTGGCCACCAATCATTTTTCTTTTTTTTATTATTATTTTTTTATTTGTTGGGTTGTGTTAGTTTGGTTATTTTAATTTATTTATTTATTGAGCTATTGTAATTTTATTTATTTATTTATTTATTTTTAAAGGATGGTTATGTGTAGGGGTAGGTTTAGAGTTTAGAATTTAAGGTTTAGATTTTTATTTCTTTTGAAATAAAAATGCAGTAAGGACTCGCACAAAATTATATGAAATTAACAAATTTTAACCAGCAGTCTAATTGATCAGTCAATTTTATTATCCAATCAATCTAAGGCTTGGTTTGGGAAGTAGGTTGGCTTTTTGGCTTTTTTGGCTATTTTAGCCTGGGCTAAGGCTGCAGAATTTAAAATCAATCGAGTCACTCAAAAACAAGTCAATAATGTTTCGCATGAATGTTTGGGTTGAGTTTAGGTTATTTTAGTTATAAAAAGGTAATATAAATTTTTTTATTTAATAAAATTATTTTTTCTCTCACAAAAATTTTAAATAATAAAAAAATTATTTTAAATAAGAATTTTTAACCCTAAATTAAAAAAAAATCAAAAAAATAAAAAAGCAAATCCACAACCCCAAGCGAAGGCGATGTCAAGACTAGCAAAAACAACACGACACCCATTTCATTTCATTTATAAAAACAAACAAATACAAAATCAAAAAACTCAATACAGTGACAGATAAGGAACCTCAAAGCAATACTCAGCTCAGCACAAGCGCAGAGAGAGAGAGAGAGAGAGAGAGAGAGAGGGAGAGAGAGAGAGAGAGAGAGATTGAATTGAATTGAATTGAATCTCCTATCCTATGGCTAACCTGAGAACGGCGATGGACTCGGGGTTTTGGGACCTGAACATAGCGACTCCACAAAGCCTACTAGAAGGTTCGGCGCGGTGCGTCCCAGGCGAGCCCTTCCCTCTGGACGGAGCGAGAGCCAGCAGAGCCCTCAGAATCCAACAACTCTCTCTCTTGGGAAATGGGTTTCCTCTCGGAATCATACCCTCTTTCTCTCCCACCTCTCCCAAGGAATTGGGTTCTTTCTGTCTCCAGTCTCTCTTCCTCAATCAAGATTTCTCCAACTGGTAATAACTCAATTTCACTCTCTATCTACATTTTACATAATTTGATTATATGTATGTCTGTATAGTGGAGTAGCCAACAATTTTATTGTCTAATCTTTAGTTCTACCCAACTTATCAGAATCAATTTTCACCTGAATATAGTGTACTTTCATATATTCCCAATCACATCCACAAAGATAATTGGGTTAATTACACTTTTTACCCCTATATTTTGATTAATTGAGCAATTGTAGCTTCATTTTGATCATTCCTTTCAAATTAAAGGTTAAAATTAACAATTTTGAAATATTTGTCAATTTTTTTAAAGTGTACATGTAGACAAAGTTAACAAAAATTTAGATGGAATGACCAAATTGAAACTGCATTTAAACTGTAGAGAACAAATTGTTAAAATTAAAATAATAGGAACTAAAAGTGAAATTTGGGCCAAATTATAAGGGTGAAAAGTGTAATAAACCCAAAATAATTCAAATTTGTCACATTACAAGTAAAAACAAAAGTTGGGGGGACACATTAATACTATTGCTTCAACAAAAATAAGCAAAAACATGCACTTTGACAATTTGTTTGCGGTGTGTTTGTATTTTTTGAAATCATACATGATAACCTCATTACCTAGGCTATCACACACATCTTTTTCGATGAGTTGATTGCAGAGGGGGGAGAGAGAGAGAGAGAGAATGCTGGGTCAGTTTTTAAGACTCCCAAAAAGTTTGCATAAACTTTTGGATTTTGTTTTTCCCCTAATTCTACTAGGTCAATTTGGAAAACCCTGAAAATTTTGGATATGGTGTCAACCAACATCACTCAGCTAGGTGTAGTTTTGCCATTGTGTATGTATGTGTATGTGAGGTCTTTTAGGGTTATTAAACGAACCAAGCTACTTGAGTTGAACTCGTTAAAAGCTCGTTCGAGATGGACCAAACATGCCAAACTTGAGTACAATTTTAAGCTCATGTAGTTTTCAAGTCGAGCTTGAACAACCTACTACTCGACTCGATAGGCTTATATGCACTATAAAAAATCAACCTACTTGAGCATGACTCGTGTTCAGCTCGTTCGAGATTGGCTCGTTATCTAAACAAGCCAAGCTTCAACATAATTTTAAGCTAATTTAAGTTATCAAACCAAGTTTGAAAAACCTACTACTTGGCTTGACTCAGTTCTTTTTCAGCCCTAGTTGTCTTTCTCTCTAATTGATTTATTCTATCGTTTAATCTCTGTTTGGCTTCAAAGAATATGTAGGAAAAATTAAACTATCGGAGTTTTGAAATACCATAATGTTTCATTAACTAGGGCTTGATAACAACATAAAAAAGTGAACATTGACTAGCCTAGGAGGACTCTGCAGCTGCATACAGTATTTAAGATTATCTCTACTTTCACTTTGGCTTACAAGAAGGCAGACTTTAGAAATTCGAAAACTTTACAGCTGGTTTGAATGCTCACAATCTATATGTTTAGATTTGAGTTTTAGTTGTACAGTGTCTTCTTTCTCTGTTTTTTTTCTTTTACTGGTGATACTCATATCATATGTTGTTGAAGGCAATGGCTTTCGGTATGTCGTCATTGAAATTTGGGTTACTTGGTGTGGCATAGAGCAACCTCACTTGCCTTTTACATGTTATTACTATTTATGTGGAAATTTGTACTTGAATGTTTTAAAAAATGGTTAATTTTTCAAAAAGTTTGCTCAACCTTCCCATGTATCTTTAGGCCACGGTTTAATTAATGTTCAAATTTATAAATATATAATCCTCAACAAGTTTTCCATCATCTTGTAAAATCTGTGATCTACTTGTGTGAGGTTCGATCTCCTTACTACTCCTGACACATCTCCTAGCAAAGGAGGGTTGTTTTACAATTTATATGGGAATTATCTGATTTTCTGTCTTATCTTTCATCCTCCAAGCTCTGAAATATTAATAGTATTTGTGTAATATTTGAATTAACAGGTGGCTTGGATTAGTAGCACAGTTGCGTCCTAAGAAATTGATCTCTGCCATTAAATCAGAACTCTATAGCAGTGATGAGTGGGAGCTCCCTGCATTTAAAGATGTTGCTAAGCATTTCCTCGACAAGTCCCTTTATTCAATCGGTCTGTGCTCACAGATATCTTTGAATTCCTCATCATCCTTATTGTTGAGCACAGAAGCACAAGGTGAAAAGAAGGGACGGCGCACCAGGGCCATGCTGCTGCACAAGGCAAGAATTTCTAGGCAGTCTTCATTATTAGTATAAGATAGTATTGGTGGCAAATTTTGTTTTTTTTCTTAGATCGTGTTTTTTGTTTTTTTTTTTTTTTGACTTATTTTGTTTTCTTATCTTTCCCTTGTTCTCAATAATTAAATTCATAAGTTAGCAACATCCTCAAATAAAAACCTTTAGCTACAGGAGGAATATGTGGCTAATATGTCTTCTTTCTAGCCATGATGTATCTTTAAAACTCTAATTTCTCTTGTGATATTATTCAAACAGTAGAATACCCCTTAGATAGTAGAGACTTAAATTATTTGATTTGGAGCCTGCATTTGGACAATGGAATGAGTGCCATTTGTAGTGGTCTTTAATGTATGTGAATAAGACAAGAATTCTTTGAGTATGCAAGATGAGACAAGAGAGTCTCACCATGCCACCTCCAATCTAGTATAACCTACAAAAGTGTTTCACCAGTTGCAAATGCCCCATCTCGTAAGGTTTGGAGATCTCCAAAGGGATCCGATCTCCCCATGCAGAGCTGTACTTTGTCCCACCAATTTCTTCCAAAATCTATCACATTCACATGCAAACCTCCATGTCCACTTCCCAATAAAGAGCTCAGTTGAAGATTCAAGTCTAGGATTCCCAATCCACCCTCTCTAAAAAGTAGGGTAGACTACATCCCAATTAACCAAACTATATTTGAACTCCTCCCTAGTCTTGTCCCCAATAAAATCCCGTTAAAGCTTCTCAAACCTCTTGGTAATCTAAGCAACTATGATCAATGGTGAATATACATAATATAGGTGGGAACTTGGGAAGACTCAATAAAGTGCTTTGAACAAGTGTGAATTTTTATTTTTATTTTTTAAATGTAATAGAAAGTAAGTGTGAAAGCTAGTATCTGTTTCATCCCACTAACATCTTTTGGAATCTCAGAACCACCAAATTCTTAATTTCCTTAGCCTTGAAAGAAGATGAGTAGCAGGCAGAGGTCCTACTCTACACCTCATGATTTATGTTTTTCTTTTATACATATATATATATGTTGTAATTATTCATGTCTATCTAAGCTCAAAATAAATCAAAATGATGATATATTGTATTTTATATGCATGGTGACACTTTGACATTGGCCCCGTTTGGGAATATGCTATTTTAGTGGCGTTTTTGGTTTTTTTAATCTTTGAAAGTCAATTGTTAGTTGTTAGGTTAGCACCTATGGGAGTTAACCTCTCCACCCTAGCAGAGTGCTAAGTGCTTGCTTTCTAATTCACCTCTCCCTTAGGGAGAGTTGAACCCATGACCTCTCCCCTTAGAGCTAAGCCCTTAGGAGAGAGTCATGGTGGCTAATTAGGCTATGCTTGGTTGGTTGGATTTTTTACTCTTTACGACAAGACGTGCAAAAAAATATAGAGTTATGTGATTGGGTATTTTGTCTTTTTGGCTATGTTAAACAAAAAAGTTCTTCCCAAACATGGTCATTGTTGGGTCAATATATCTGACATTTGCTTGTGTCCAACTAAAAGTTTTAGATTCCATTATGGCTGAACTATTTGTTGAAGTGCTTTGTCACAAAACTGCAATACTTTAAAACTTTTCATCTGGTAATTGATTTTTCTTTTCCCTTACCATTATTCGTTTTCAAATGTTTTTCTTTTCTGGTGCAAAACATTGTTACATTTGCTCGTTAAACCTTTCATCTGTTCGTACAGCTTCCTAATCATGATCTTACAATGGAGGTGGCATGGCCTCAGCTCTACATAGACCATAACGGAAAATATTGGGATGTTCCTGAATCAATTTCATTGGATTGTTCTTCACTTGTTTCTGAATCTGGATTCAGGTATCGTTTTGGTTTACATCAAAATAGTGGCAATCCTCGGGCTGTTAATCCCAGTCATGGCGATGTACCTCTTGCCTTATTGCCTGGATTCTGTGCAAAAGCTGCCTTTTCTTATGAGAAGGGCAAAGACCTTTGGAGGCAAATGGAGACGAAAAAGGATGTCATCATAGAGACAGAGGAGGGTCGATTTTGGCGGCCTGCATATGACATTCGTCTTAAAGAACCACATGCAGTAATTTCTGGAATTATTGGTAATTCTTAAGCTTTTCGAAAAGTCTTTCATGTAAATGTAGTTTTTCCATTTATTTTATTGGGTAAATTGCGCTAACCTCCCTTGAAGTTTGTAGAAAACACATTAAGCCCCATAAGTTTGGCGTAGTTGCATTGGACTCCCTTAAGGTTTTGATTCACATTACACTCAACTCCATTTTCATCAATAGTTTGTTAATAATATGAATGGATGTCACCTTTTGCTCTTGTTTATCTTTGTGTCTACACACCATTTACATTAGTTTTGGTTGCTTTAGGCTTACTAAAATGCAAATTGGTGCAATCATGCCAAACTTATGGGGTTTATTGTATATTTTCCTAAACCTCAGGTGGTCAATGTAATTTATCCTATTCTATTTCTTTAATGAATACAAGTTTTCAACTGACATTAATTTTTTTTTTCTTAACCCCAATAAATCCCTTTCCTTCTTTTTTTTTTTTTTTTTTTTTTTTTTTTTTTTTTTTTTGGTTCTTTTTCCTATGGTAATCTTGTTTACATCACGCGTATTTTCTAGCTTTTGAAGCTACTGGGTATCCATGAGCAATGTTTTAGCCAAGGCAATTAAGTTTCTGTTCTATTGAATTCTCATAATATGGATATAAGTTGTAAACCTTTAGGCTAGGTTTGGTTTGAGGATTTGATGTGAGAAATAGAAAGGGAAAAGGAAATGCAATCCCACTTTTTGTTTGGTCATAATGGAAAAAACAGGGGAAAAGAAAGTGAGAAAGAAATTGATGCAGAGCATAGTTGTCAAATCGAGATTCGTATCGTGAATCGAAATGACCTTGTACCGAATCGTGAATCGAATCGAATCGTGAATCGTAAAGATTCGGTCACTTTTTAAAAATTACTTAAAAATATATATTTACACATTTAGATGTTAAATATATCTAGTGAATATGAAATATTTAGACTTAAATCAATAAAAATGTTATTTTGAATGATAATCACGTATTTTAATAGGTAAAAAGTTAACAAAATTCTTATGTAAGATCACCATCATACTTTTTTTCTTTTTAGATATTTCTTATCAACCATTCTTAATAAAAATAATAACCAAATAAACAAATTATCAATTTCTAAAATAACAATAATTAACAACGATATTGATATTTGGACAATAAGCATACATACTTTTCTAAGTAACAGTGAACAAATAATAAGAAAGAATTATTTAGAATATTTTATTGTAAAGCCTAAAACATTTTCAAAGATATAACTGACCTCACATATGTAATATTCAATTATATTCAATTTAATAAAATAGCAATGAATAATTCATAGTGTAACTTTAATCTTAAGCATCTTTAGAAGATATAGTATGATTTTTCAAAGGGGAAAAAAATGAGAAGAAATGTTAAAAATATGTTGGGTCTGACTGAATCTGATTGGATTTTATTGAAAACTTCATGATCACTAAAATAATAACAAATTATGTATATATGTTGATTATTTTGGTATTAAACACTATTAGAAGTTGTATTATGTCATTTTCACTAAAAATATGGAGAAAGAAATAGTTGAAAATATATCAGACACAATAATTTAAAAAATTAAATGAATCGTAAAAAGTGAATTGAATCGTGAATCGATTGTGAAATCGTGCGATTCATTAGAGATTTACTTCCAAAATAGATTCACCTATAGATTCGTATCGATTTTGCAAAAAATTCGAATCGAATCGCGAATCGAATCGTGAATCGTAAGATTTTGATAACAGAGAGATTCACCTATAGATTCATATCGATTTTGCAAAAATTATGAATCGAATCGTGAATCGAATCGCGAATTGTAAGATTCTGATAACAGAGATGCAGAGTATAAGAAGCTCAAGAAAGAATAAATTCAAAGTACCAGCATTATTTGGAACTTGACATGATTTTAAAGAGAAACCGATAATAAACTTATGGGGTTTATTGTATATTTTCCTAAACCTCAGGTGGTCAATGTAATTTATCCTATTCTATTTCTTTAATGAATACAAGTTTTCAACTGACATTAATTTTTTTTTTTCTTAACCCCAATAAATCCCTTTCCTTCTTTTTTTTTTTTTTTTTTTTTTTTTTTTGGTTCTTTTTCCTATGGTAATCTTGTTTACATCACGCGTATTTTCTAGCTTTTGAAGCTACTGGGTATCCATGAGCAATGTTTTAGCCAAGGCAATTAAGTTTCTGTTCTATTGAATTCTCATAATATGGATATAAGTTGTAAACCTTTAGGCTAGGTTTGGTTTGAGGATTTGATGTGAGAAATAGAAAGGGAAAAGGAAATGCAATCCCACTTTTTGTTTGGTCATAATGGAAAAAACAAGGGAAAAGAAAGTGAGAAAGAAATTGATGCAGAGTATAAGAAGCTCAAGAAAGAATAAATTCAAAGTACCAGCATTATTTGGAACTTGACATGATTTTAAAGAGAAACCGATAATAACCACATATAATCATATTTCTAGTATTATTAGAGTCTAACTTTATTATTATTTTTAAGCTTCCTAGGATTTTTAAGGTTAAGGGTATTTTGGTAATTTGCAGAATTTTCAAATATGGGTTGTGCCCATGGGTCGTCTTGTAGGTCAAGTTATTTAATTAGCCTTTGTTTTTGTTTCTTATTTAGTCTTAGGTTAGTTTTGAAAGTCAGATATTATAATAGTTTCTTTTTTTAGTTATAGTTAGTTTTGGAAGTCTTTTAATTCTATATAAAGCCATGTAATACTTATAATTTAATAGAGTTGATATTTTATAAAAATTTGAGAGTTTTGAAGCTTTTTTATAGATTGTGTGATGCAATCAAATTTGAGGTGTGATGCGTAAGTGATTCTAGGAGTAATTCCTAGATCTATCTTTTCCTTCTCCTTCTCCTTCTCATTCTCTTTCTCTTTCTCTTTCTCTTTCTCTTTCTTTCCCTCTTTTATTTTCTGCACTTTTAACAGCCCAAAAACACTGTTCACGGGTATTATTCACAGCCCCTAAAACAACCCCTAAACAGTGCCAAAATCCCATCTTTTCCATGCTTAAACTTTTACCCATTATTTACCCCTAACCAAACACTACTTGTCCCCTATACTTTTATTGCAATTTCAGCCATAAAATCCAATTAAAATCAGCCCCAAAAGCCCAGATTTGTTGCTGCCCTAATCGTCCTACATCAGAAATGCAATCTTACTTTTTGTTTTCTGGGTTACTTAGGCTCTTTTCTTTCTTCATTTTCCAACTCAACCAGACCTAGCTTGGAATTTGAATCCTTATCAATTCTCTCTTTTTCTTTCTATTTCCCTTTCCCTCATCAAATCCTCTAACCAAACACCGCCTTAGAAAACTCTCTCTATTTATTTTATTGAAATTTCATCTTACAGAATAATCCTAAACTAAAACTGAACTAAATGATAAATGAAGTGAAATATACAGAAGTATTGTACTAGAAGGAATAATGAGACGAATTATATAAATATCCAAACCCCCTTATATTATATATAGAAAAAAAGGATACCTGATCCTTCCACAGTGTATAAAATAAATTTTGTAGAAGTTTCTTTCATTGCATTTCTTAGAGTTCTAAAATTTCATTTTCCCTCTATTTTTTACCTTTCATCTAAACTGAAATATTGTTGTCCTGTGGCATGATCTTTCATGACATATAGTTGTGTTTGTTGCATGATGTAACTATTTTTTTCTCACAAGAAACACAAGATTTACAAAACTTGAAGAATATTTTAATTCATGAATCAGGATATGTAAATGCAAAGGATGATGTACATCCAGTCAACAATCTTTACTAATCAACAATGAAGCTGCCCGTATACAACACAGTTTATGATGGAGCTTTTATTTAGGGGGAAAAAAAAAAACTATGCATATGAAAGACATGCTAAAATTTTTATATGTCATTATAAGTGATGTTAGAAGCTGTGTTCTCTTTTTGAATGAAAAATTGATAGTATAATAATGCCCTAGAACTATACTTCTTCACTTGATATACTAGAATTCTGGTCCACCGGAAAAGAAATATTTATATATGTAGCCAAAACTGGGATTTTGGATGAAGTATTGAACCAATTGGATGTATTGGGGATTAACTCAGAATTATATAGGATATGAATTTGAAAATTGACTAAGAAAAGGATAATTATACTTAAAAGGGGAAATTGCAAATCGATTGGACAGTCATAAAATAATTGCACTACAAATGGGAATCTTTTTTGGTGCAACTCTGACATAGGAAGAGTTACACCAAGCACAAGAATGAAAATGAAATTTTTTGCCATTGCTCCACTGAGATGTAATTTTCCCTACTTAAAATTTCTGAAAATCTGCAAGAGAAGTCAGAAATTAAGAAAAGTTGAAGTGTAGAATGAAAAAAAAAAAAAGAAGAAAGAAACAAAGAAAAGTAGAAAAGAAGAACCCTTAATCAAATGAAGAACTGAAACAAAAGCAAAGGCCACTTGCAGATAAAGACTTGAAAATTGACCATGATATATTAATAAAAGTCGTAACAAACAAAACAAATTACAGGGAAAACTTTAATAAATTGAGTACTAGAACTGATATAGCTCATTTGATGCCCTTGTTGATGCCACATAGTTAATTGACAAACTCAGCATTAGAGAAAACAACTGTGCGGAGATTTCAAATATCATTTTTTTCATGTTTAATTCTCAAGTTAAGATATCTTTTTTTTCCCTTTTGTTTTGTTTCTGAAGAAATTATTTCCCCCTTTTTATTTTTTATTTATTTTATATCACCTTAGGTGGTACTTGTGCTGCCTGGATTGGAGGTAGGGAGAGATCAGCTGCTGTTGAGATGAAGGAAATTGGGGATAGCATTTCTATTAGTGCTAAGAAAATAAGCCCTTTTAGTGCTGACTTATTTGGGTCGGTTTGCTATACTTTCCAGCATGGGAAATTCAGGAAGCTATTTGGGGACCTCAGTCGGGTAGATGCTCGCCTGGATATCTGTTCAGCTTCAGCTTTAGCTCAAAGGGTTTCAAAAATCTTTAAGGGTTCTTCACTTAGTAATGCAGAAAATCCACTGTCTTCTCCCAGGCTTAATTTGATACTTCAACAGCAGGTATTTCTGTTTGTACCTGCCTTTAACCATAACATGAATTGCAAATTATCAAGACTATCTGCGCTTAATTTCGATTTATTATTTGTACCTAAAAAACTGTTGCCGTATTATAGAGTGGAAAGAAAAAAATATGCCACTGAAGTAATTCATTTTTGGTTGGGTGATTAACATAACCTAAAATGAATTTGGGCAACAAATTAATTTTTCTGTGCACATCTGTTTCTGGAGCGAGCTTTTTGAAATGCAGGGAGGTATTGGATTTGTAATTCGTATTGTATTGTTTGTTTTGTTTTATTTTCTCTTTGATGGTTGAGAATTAAGTGACCGTAAATTGTGCTAGTTAAAATGTGAAGTGTGAGAATAAGGTTAGGGTTAGAAGACAGAGAGAAGAGAAGAGAATACGGCAAATAGGTTTTAGGTGGATATTAAAACAACAATACAACAAAACGACAATAATACCCTCAATATAAAATAACATTAAAAAAAAAAAAAAAAACACGCGACTGTCTAACATTGATAATGACAAGCGTCCTATGGACTAAGTTAACAATAGGAAAATGAGTCAAATTATACATCACTTTCAGCATTGCGAACACCTTTACATCAGCAGATTATTCAGGATAAGTGCTTTAATTATTGAATAGACTATTTATCCAGTAGTTTTCTTGGATAGGAAGGCCATAAGATGATCCACATGTATTTTGCCTTTGCAGGTTGCAGGGCCGATCGTCTTTCGAGTAGATTCCAAATTTTTGATTGATTCATCTTCTGGGAAACAAGGAATGCATATGGAGGATTTGATATACAGCTTGAATTATTCCCTGAGGCTCCTACAATCTGGGAAAGTGGTAGCATGGTATTCCCCAAAAAGGAAGGAGGCAATGATTGAATTGCGCCTTTTTGAGTTCTAATCTCTCTCTCCAAAGTAATGATTGTTTTGTCTTGTCACTATATATCTCAACAATATGAATTGTTTGTGGAAAGCAATTTTTTGCCGTTAATTTATGGTGCACAAATATGGTTGCTCATGGCCATCTCCAATCTTTACTTCCTTTTTTTAATCAAATTTTGAGTAAAAATTAGGTTTATATGATATGGAACACTCCAATCCTTATTTCTTTTACTTCTGTTATTTTGTGAAAAATTTCTCAGCTTATTGCAAAGCCCTCTTTTAGCCATTGTTGATGAAACAAAAAAAACAATCTCCAATCCTTGCTCTTCCTGAAATTTCAATCAGATTTCGAGTAAAAATATTTGTTGGAAATTTGGTGAAAGATTTTATTCATAATTGATTTGGTGAGATTTCTCTCCATTGATTTGCTGCAAGTTCAATGAAATGATTTGAGTTGAGTTTTTGCTATTATCAAATTTAAATTTGATTTAAGGAACTGATGAAGTATAGGGGTTTTGATATGAACGCGGCCAGGAACAAGGATTATTCTGATACAGTCGAGCAGTAGACTGCTCGTTTTTCATAAAAAGTTAGATCCAAAAAAGAAAGTAACATAAAAATCAGTTACACCTTTTCAGTCCCAAAAGGGATGGAGTTGTCAGGGTATGGAACTGGTATTCGGTGAGCAGCAACCAAAGTGTCTAATCACTGAGCTATAACAACCGGTTTAGTTACAAAGAGAATACAAGTTTGAGTCTTTGAGATGATGCCAAGACTCTTGTTCAAGAGAATACACTGGTTTGGTTATCAAGAGAATACGAGTTTTAACTCTTTGAGACGACGCCAAGACACTAGTTCATAAATTTTGAATAACTGGCTCCTTGCCATTACACCATCGAGTTGAGATCAAATTTTGAGTTACCGGCTCCTTGCATACAGGTGCATTGGATGTATCTGCATGTCTAATGATATGCAGAAATGGAAGATGAAATCAAACTAAAAAAATTTGTCATGCTCTAAGATGAATTATGAAGTTCAAATCAGCTCACAAGTTCAAAACAGTTCACCTAAACAACACATGAGGATCTACTATCATTTAAAACTCCCAATCTATCTGAACGAACTTGAAATAGAATCACGGCACTACTAAAAAACCATTTTCAGACCCAGATAACTATAATGATAATTATAATAATCACAGCACTTTACAACAGCCATTTGTCAAGAACGTCAAAATGTATAGCAAGACCATATGATGCTTAAACATTTGGGAAAAGTTAAAATGAAAGAGAGCTCAAAACATATAGCAGACAGCACAAATATGAATCAAAAATTTTTGTTGCCCTGTTTCTGAACAAAGTAAACATTCAACAAACAATATTGCTCCCAAATTAACACCGGTTCACATAACAATGGCTGCAAAGCAGCTAGTTAATTCTCTAAAGAGGTTGAACATCAACATCAACATCAACATCTTTACTCAACCACGGCCAGCAGATCACCAGCTTTACAAAAGCAGTGCCTTCCATCTGTTCCCAAATCCACCTGAATAGAGAGACAGCACAACACAAGATCAATACAACGGTAACCGTGCACTTTGACAAGTGCTAGCATCAGCTTAATCAATAATGTAAACTAGCCACTGCAAGTATGTCAGTTCCTGGATTGGCCAGCGAGGCCCCCATTTAATCAAGCTCCACTCCAAAAGTAGAAATTATTCAGTGCCACTTGCAGCAATGGCACAAATACATCTTGGCCTTTGATTTCGGTCAGACCCACGTGAGTCCCAAAGAAATCACAGGTCAAGATGTGTTTGTGGCATTGCCAATTCAGTGTCACCAACAGCACTGAATAACTGATCCTCCAAAAGTCAACCTAGTCAGCAAATTGCCGCCATTAACCAAAGCAATTAGCAGGATCACATTTGGCATTACAATCCCAGCTATATTAATTACCAATACAAAATAGCTCATTAATTAGATAACCGAAGGCTTCATCCGCTGTAGCAATACCAGAGCACAAGCCCTTCTGGTTGTGATGTGCAATGCTTTTTTCCCCTTGGGAAGGTTATTTTTAGTAACTGCTTTTCTTAAAGAATTTTTGCCTGTTTACTTGAGCAGAATAGGCAAAAAAGCTAAAAAAGTACAGTTACATTCACACTAAAAAAGTACCTTTATAAAGCAAAAAGGCTGTTTTACTTGAAATCAATTTTTTTGTCTTTTTACTACATGAGTTGGTTAATTCTCCTCTCATCTCAAAATCATATGCAGTTCATTTTATGAGCATGTATATACACGTGTATGAGTGCATATATTCACTCAAATATCCATTTATGTGTAAATAACGTTAATACATGCTCTTGCACACAGTTGTATGTCCATATCCATATATCACCTATTTAAGTGTTTAATAGCCCACTTAAGTACGCATATGTATTACATGCTTTTATATACTTGTGTTCAAGTATATATTATACCATGTATATATGTCAATATTTTGTTGTGCACACCTATATATAGCTGCTATATATGTTTCACTGGCATGTTTATTTTTTTGTTAGGAGCAATTGCCATGTATATCTATTCTATTATATAAAACGTACACCCCATTTGGTGTGAATTTTGTCACGTTTTTTTTTCCAATAATGCCCTCCACCACATCCAATAACTGATAAATGGTTTTCTCAGTTATCAAACTGTCCAAAGCTACTGAACAGTTTCCTCATTCATCAAACCATACAAAAATTTAAATGTAAAATTGCAAATGTATCGTATTTGCATCCATCACTAGTTTAAATATACACCTACAAAAGTTCTATCACAGCGATATTCGGATGCATAACTACAATATATACCTCCGTATACACTTTTATATATATTTATACATATATAAGCATGTATATATATGCATACATATTTACACATAAGCATGTATATATGCATACATACATATATACATATATATTGCTTAAATATAAAAGCATCTGTGCAAATGAAAGCATACATGGTCATAAATAGGGCTATACAAAATACCACACAATTTGCTAAAACCACACTGATCCTCATCAATTCACACCGCTCCATCCGCTAACCGTGGATTAAATTTTAAAATTTATAATCCGCTTTCGAAACCGCTTCGCTCCGCTATAGTTAATAGATAAATATTTTTTAACTTCTAATGAAATATCAAAATAAAAATGAATGTGAGAAAGATTTAAGATGTGAAATTTATTATAAATTAGTAGTTATATATATAAAACATATGTAAAATTAGTTTGTGTTATATATATGAAAAAGATTATACAGATTAGTGTTATATATTATGTAAATGCTTGATTTTTGGTTAGAATATTCTTTAATTCGCCTAAAACCGCGATTTGTCAATCTGCCAAATCAGTCAAATCGCCATTTGGTTTATAATTTTACTTTCAAACCGCCCGAACTGCACCACGCACACCCCTAGTCATAAAAATTACTGTATATTTATTTAATTTTTAATAATAATTTTTCAGGCTTGCAATATATATATAAAATCAATATTAACAATGAATTATCAGATGTGGTTATCGTTTTCTTGCTTTCTGGATTTTACTTTGGAGCATAAATCAAAAAGGTCACAAAATGCCTATTTAACTATAAAAACTAAATAGTGCATAAAAAATACAAATTGCATTACAAATTTTTTTTTTTTTTTTAAACTTCTAAAAGTATTTTTTTAGCTTAAAAAGTAATTAAGAAATAAGCATTTACCAAATGCTAAATTATATATTTTTTTATTTCAGCAACACACGAGGTTTGATGCTAGTATAGATAATCATAACACAATTAATAAATTTTTAGAATCTAAATTAAAGACAAAAGTCAGATGCTTGGCAAAGATATTTTATAATGTCTAAGAAAAATGAGCCTATTTGTTTTTTTTTTTTTTTTTTTTTGGGTAAACTACTAAATAACTTCCTCACATTATTACTCAAGTGAAAAAGCTACTCCAATTGGCAGCTACCACAAGTGGCCCCTCAAGATACCACTTGGCTACAAAGACTAAGGTCAACGATAAGTAAATATAGATCCATATATTTTACTGATCCACAAGATTTGTTGGGTTGGAACCATTAACATCAGGCACATATCCTGCAAATCAAGCCAACAAGGCACTGAAAGACGTACGCAGTCTCCTATAGATTCTATAAAAAATGGGTTAATGGAATGACAAGTTATTTTCACAACGCATGTTCTGAGGTGGTGTCCCTAGGTAACCATTTATTTATTTTTATATCAAAGTCACCACCTAAATATATATATATATATATAGACAGACTACTGGTGAGGAGGAGGAGAAGGGGTGGGAAAGATCAATGCATTACGAAACCCTAAACCAGACCAAACATGTAATGCTTGTAACTTATACAGGATTAGAGAGAGATGGTGCATTTCTGGCCTGTGGTGTTGGTCTCTACTGTAAAATTGTCCAACTAGAGGTTAACTAGCCAGTAAAGGTAATTCCACTAGAGCGATTCGTAAACACGAGCAATTAGTAAACAAACTTTTTACATGTAAAACATCCGTTTCAGGTAATACCACCTACCTCATAAGCACTTACGTCGGAGAAAAGAACCTGCAAAAGAAGCATTTAATTCTTTCAGACAATGCAATAGGCACCAGAACAGAGGAAATGAAGCAGAATAATGCCATCAAGTATGCAATGCTTCATAAACTCAATAACTCGGGCTTTAAAAGTGTCTGTTGCATACATAAGGCAAACAGAATCGATTTGGGCTTGCCATAAATTACAGTCGTGCTAAAGGCCTAGAAATTTCGAGGCTTGAATGCCTCGAATCATTTTTTTTTTTTTTTTTTTTTTTTGGTTTGGTTTGGTTTGGTTTGGTTTTTTTTTTTTTTTTTTTTGAAGGGTGGTTATGTATAGGGATGTCCTAAAAAACTAGACATCATCACCAACTCAGCCTGTGTGATTTGATAAGGTGAATGAGCTGGGTCGGACTGGTTTGGTGAAAAAATTGACTAATCAGTTAGGTTGTTGGTTAAGATTTGTTAATTCCATATAGTTTTGTATGAGTCCCTATTATGTTTTTATTTCAAATCAGGAAGACTCGAAGGAAATCGAGTCTTCCTGGTTTGAAATAAAATGTAAGAATTTATGTATTATTGAAAAAAAAATTTTGACAAGTGTGTAAGAATTTATGTATTATTGATTGATGTTTATTGATATTGTTATTCTGTCTATTACAAATGGTTCCTTATATAGATGTAGGTGTAGTGGATGGTGGTAGTGGTGTAGTGGGTTAGGTTTAGTGGAGTAGGTGAGGTGGTAGTGGTGTAGGTGATGGTAAATTCTAACATAAAATATAGCATGGACTCGTACAAAACTATATGAAATTAACAAATCAACCAATAACCTAATTGATCAGTCAATTTTATCACCCTATCAAGTAAGGAGGGAGAGAAGAGGCTATACAAACTTGTTAAAATACGGGAGAGGAAAACAAGAGATTTTAATCAAGTAAAGTGTATCAAGAGTGAGGATTCTAAGGTATTAGTTAAGGATGATGAGATTAAGGAAAGATGGAAGAATTATTTTGAAAAACTATTAAATGAGGAACATGGAGGTACAACAATAAGGGAAGAAATAGCCACTAATACGATAAACCAAGACTATAGGTTCTATCGCAGGATTAGGAACTTTGAAGTGAAAATTGCACTTAAGAAGATGAAATCAAATAAGGCTTTAGGACCCAATGATATCCCTATTGAAGCTTGGAAGTGTTTGGGTAAAAAGGGAGTTGGTTGGTTGACTAGGTTGTTTAGCAAAATTTTGTTGACTAGGAACATGCCAGATGAGTGGAGGAAGAGTATTTTAGTACCAATCTATAAGAATAAAGGTGATGTCCAGAATTGTAACAACTATAGAGGAATCAAGCTAATGTGTCATATAATGAAAGTGTGGGAGAGGGTGATGGAACGCCGATTGCGAGATATAACAGAGGTATCAGAGAATCAATTTGGGTTTATGCCTGGTAGGTCAACAATGGAAGCGATCTATCTTTTGAGGAGAGTAATAGAAAAGTATAAAGAAAAGAAAAGAGACATTCATATGGTGTTTATCGACCTTGAGAAAGCATATGACAGAGTGCCCCGGGATATAATATGGTGGGTGTTAGAGAAGAAAGGAGTGACAAAAGGTTACATTGATGTGATTAGGGACATGTATGAAGGGGTGGTGACCACTATTAGATCGCCAGCTGGAGAGACAAATGAATTTCCTATCACTGTAGGGTTACACCAAGGATCTACCTTAAGTCCTTATCTTTTTGCATTAGTTATGGACGAGTTGACGATGAATATTCAGGATGATGTGCCATGGTGCATGCTTTTTGCAAACGATATTGTGCTAGTGGATGAGACTAGAAAAGGAGTTAAGGAGTTAACACAAAGTTAGAGATTTGGAGAAAAGCTCTTGAATCTAAAGGATTCCGGATAAGCAGAACTAAGACAGAATAAATGGAGTGTAAATTTAGTAACAGTAACAATGAAAAAGAGGAGAAGTGAAGATTGAGAACCAAGAATTGCCTAAGAGTGAACATTTTCGTTATTTAGGGTCGATTATCACAACAGCGGAAGAGATTGATGCAGATGTGGCCCATAGGATTAAGGGGGGTTGATGTAAGTGGAGAAGTGCGTCTGGGGTATTGTGCGATAAACGAATACCCACTAGACTAAAAGATAAGTTTTATAGAACGGCTATTAGACCAGCTATGTTGTATGGGACGGAGTGTCAGGCAACCAAGAAACGACATGTAGATAAGATGAGTATGGCTGAGATGAGGATGCTAAGGTGGATGTGTGGTAAGACTAGACAAGACAAGATTAGGAATGAGTGTTTCGGGAATGGGTAGGAGTAGCACCGATAGAAGATAAGTTGAGAGAGAATCGTTTGAGATGGTTTGGTCATATTCAACGGAGACCAATAGAGGCAGAGATGCGATGCTGTAACGGTAAATGGAAGTGTTAGGGGACGGGGTAGGCCTAGATTAACATTGACTAGCGTTTTAAATAGAGATATGAATCTACTTAATTTGACTAATGAAATGGCCTTTGATAGGGCCGCGTGGAGAAGGATTCATGTAGCCGACCCCATTTAACGGGACTTAAGGCTTGGTTTGGTTTGGTTTGGTTTGGTTTGGTTATCAAACCACACAGGCTGAATTGGTGCGGGATGTCTGGTTTTTCAGCACACCCCTACTCATAACCACCCTTGTAAAAATTAAAAAAAAATTAAAAAAATAAAACAATTTCAAGGCATTTGAGCCTCGAAATTTCGATGCCTCAAGCATTTTTCTATAAATTATTCACCCTATAAACTTACCTTCTTCCCTGCCTCCACTTGCTCCACCTCAGCACCGATGGAAAGAATCTGAAAAGGGAATAAACAATCATAAGCAACCTCAAATAAGAAAACTGAGTTCTTTTATTCACATCACTTGAGGACAGATGTCAGTGTTTTGCTCACCTCCCCCATAAGGTACCGTTCAAATTTGACAGCTGATTTGGGTAGCAAAACTCCACCAGCTGATTTCTGCACAATGAAAATTTCATTCATGAAGATGACAGTTTATAACAAGGTTGCGTGCGAAAGTCTTTGTCTGTTTAATATGTTTAAGTACTTGATAAAACTTTAAAGATCACAAATAAAATCCACAATTTGTAATAATGGGACAAGTATAGATCACTGATACAGAGGTCAGACAAATGCAGGAAGGTTTTCATCTATACTTTTTTCCCCCATCTCAAAATAAAAGACATCAATGAATTAGTGTATTACTACGAAGTACTAACACTTCAAAACAAGTGGCGTATCTGTGTCGGACATGCTGACACTTCGAGGACACGTGGACACGGCAGCGATACGTATGGGACATGTCATATGGAATGTCCCCTTATTTAATTAATTTATTTTAAGGAGACACAACGGGAACACTTCGGAGACACACTAAAGACATGTTAAGTTGTCTTTTCTCCCATTTTCTTTTAGTGGCTTTGATGAATGTTCAATGTTTATTATTTTTTTCTTATATTAAAATACTTAATAGATCATCTATAAAAAAATATATATATATAAAAAAAAAAAGATATAAACCGTAAGTGATAATTTAAAAGTTTATTTATTTATTTATAAATATAGAATTAGAATTATTTTTGTTAATATTGATTTTTTGTGGATGTTATATTAATCTAGATAGCAAATAAAAATATGTGAAAATATATTTTATTGTCGTATCCCCGTTGTGTCTGTATCCTCATTTTTTCAAAATCGCTGTGTCCTATGTCCGTGTCCGTGTCCGTGCCCGTGTCCGTCTCCACATCCGTATCCGTGCTTCTTAGGTGTATTACATTAGGTAGCACAAACACAGATACGAGACGTGACACGGAACAATTGACGAGCTTACTAATACATAACAAATAGGAATTCCTGCGCAAGATTTAATTGAAACAATAGTAGAACATTGAAATACACATGATTTATATATTTCAAAACATATATGTACACAAATTGCAGTCCGAAGAATGTAGAATGTTGTTACTATGAAGAGATTCTTCATGTACATCGTGTTCAATGGGTTTAAGAAGTGTCGCCTAAGTATCCAAGAAGTGCATGTAAAGTGTCGAATTTTATGAATTTAAATTTTTAATTAAGACACGTTGAAAAAGTTTGAAACTAAAGTAAAAATATTATTCTTATGTCAAGAAGTTAAACACAACTAAAGTAATTTTCAAATTCAACAGACTCAGATTGTCAAACGAAAGTTACTATTCGTAAGTTACAAGTTGGCAATAACAAGCTAATCCTCGCCGTCATATATATTGAAGTCCATTCCACTAGCCCATTGGTACTTGGTATGGTATTACATAGTATATACTATTCCAGAAGACAAAAATGGCACTTATACTCGTGAAGGTACAGCTGTTCATGACCAAATTTACTTTGTTCTTTTCAACTCAAAATGTAATACCTTAAGAATAACTTTCCTCAATAAAAGACAATTTGATATCAAATTTGAACAGATTTTAGTCACAGAGATACCCAAAGAGACCAATATGTCCCTTACCGTTAAAGTCATTAAAACTAACTAGGAAATCAATAAGTAAAACGACAAACAATTTCAGCTTCCCGATAACTTCTTCAAGATCCATCAAACATATACCACACGAACCAACATTCTCTCTGAAAGTGAAAGTTTTGAAGCCACAAATTTTTCAACATAGGAAACATGGAACAATGATCAACCATGCAGTTGTCGAAAAATCTGTAAATTTTCTTCAAAACCCAAAATATATATATATATAAAAAAAAAAAACTTCCCAAGTGTGCATAAGCATTTGCACACACAACACAAATGCAAACATTTGGCAAACAGATCATCCCACTTCAGATTCTCAAAATAGGAAAAAGAAAGAAACAAATGGCAAGGAATTGAAATGCTCAACAAACAAATGAATTATACCTCAGGCAGCTCCTCCAGACGAATCAGAACTCTATCAGCTTGCGGTATAACCTGACAATTAGACAACACCCACAAGGCCACAAGCATATGTAAAACTCATATTGTTATTATTATTTCGTAAATTACACTTTTTACGACCCAAATTTCAATTTGGATCCTATTATTTCAGATTGAACATTTCATTCCTATACTTCAGTCCAGTTTCAATTTAGTCATTCCGTCCAAATTTTTGTTAATGTTTTCTACTGAAATCTAAGATTGACAAGTGTCGTTCAAGTTAAAAACCAAATTAAAACTAGACTTAAAATGTAAAATTGTTTAATCTGAAATAATAGAAACCAAAAAGTAAAAATCGGATTGAAATACAGGGATTAAAAGTGTAATTTATCTCCTTTTTTTCTGTTCTTTTTTTTGTAATAAAGTTACAAAATTAAGCAGTAAGTCCCCTATACATGCAAATATTTAGAAAGGAAATTAGAAATAAAGTAGAGAAGAGAACCTTTGTGGGTTCAAATTTCTTTGCAATCGCACTGACTCTCAGGGAATCTCTACGCCCACCTGTTCAGAACCCAATATGCACATACCATTAACAAAACTGAGAAAAATTTATACACTCTTATTAGGGGAAATGAACCAAGTTTTTAGGGTTCAAGGAGAAAACCTAGCAGTCTCTGGTTAGAGAGCGAGGGTAGGTTGGTGCTGTGAGAAGTAAAGGGCTTTGCCATTGTAATAATGAGAGTAGAAGCCATGGAGAGAGAGAGAGAGAGAGAGAGAGCGAATGATAGTGTTGGTGAACTTGCTTTAGAGAGAGAGAGAGCCTATCGTTATCGTTGATGCGCAGGGTTTATAGAAGGCAACAGTTGGGCCGGTCTTCTAGATAATTCGAAAATTTCTCACATAAATGCCGGGAAGGCAATATGGGTCGGTCCGGGCAACATTTGGGTCTTGGTTTTGTGCTCGTGTCCATACTATGATGGGTCTTTATATTCTCTTAATAGGTCACTCCTATTTTAATTTTAAGAGTTGTTTGGAATGATCTAAATAAATGTATTTTTATCTTTTTATAAAAAGATGTACAGAAAAATAGAAAGATGATATGATAAAAAAAGATAAAAAGATAAAAAGTGTGTACTTATTTAGGATAGTCAAAATTGACCTTAATGAGGTAGAAGAGAGAAAATAGAGAACGGTAGAGAGATGAATGCTTAAAATACGAAGAGTGATGTTGCATTCTCCTAATTTATCAATTATATTTTGAGTTCTAAATAAGGTGAAACAAAGAGAATATAGAGAGGTAGAGTGAGGAACAAATGATGAGTGAGAAGTGAGATCCATTCCACATTATTAGAGATGCTCAATTAGAACTTCCAGATATTTTTTAAATACGAATTATCTATTGTGATTTGAAAAATTACAAATATTTTTTTGTTATAATTTTTTATTTAATAGAATTAGCTAAAAAAATAAAACTTCTACTTGCTCTCCTCTACATTGATATAATTACTTGAATTATAAAAAAATGCAATTTCTATCTTATGAAAAAAATGAAATTCTTACAAGCTCGGTGACTATACCAATTATAATAATAACTAGAAAGAGAAATAAATAGGTCAATAGCAATTAACATTCACATAAATATATCTTATGCATGTTATGTGTAAGCCACAGGCTATTTATCATATATAATTAGCCTCAAGGCATCATCCCCAGAACAATGTATTAAACGTCTCTAAGATAATGTAATAGCATCCCCTAGACAATGAGATACAACGTCCCCAAGACAATGTAAAGAATCGGCTCCAAGCCAAATGAATTTGTGACATCCACTACCCAATATCACGTAAATAACCTAACTGATACTAAGGCCTTGTTTGGGAACATACTAATTTAGTAACTTTTTGACTATTTAGCGAAAAAGGTAGGTAAAAAAAACTTGTATGTTTGGAATGACTTTTTAGTTAATTATGAAAAGATGTGCAAAAAGTAGAGAGAAAAGAGAATCTTTGATTTTTTGGTATGAGTTGTTGACTTTTTGACTAATTTAGTAACTTTTTGACTAATTGACTAAAAAAGTAAGTCCTCAAACGAGGCCTAATTATGAATTAATATACTCACCTCAAGGATCAATACTAATACCACTCGCAAGATCACTTCTTAGGTGAAGTTGGAGTACTTTTTGTTGCTTCAATACCAAATATGTTTAGCACACACTTAAATAGATGAGAATATAAGAATTAAATTCTCATAAAATTATATTATGATGGGGAGGAGAGGTCATAGAAACTATATACGATAAATTGAATTTGAACTCAAAGTTTGAACAATGATACTTTGACGTAGGTGCACATTTTGGAGGGAAAAAAAAAACTTTTAAAATATTGAACATTTGAAGTTGATATCTTGTAATTTTAAATTTCTATAAAATTATAACTCATGGGATGAGAACAGAATTCGGACGGCGAAGTTGTGCCCATCCAAAGTATTTTTATTAACAGAATCGTACATGCAGTTTTTGAATAAACTTTGAACTCAAATCCGTATTCACTTAGCTGGAAAGAAAATTTAAGGCCTATACAATTTGAAAAACCAATGAGTATACTTTCAAACAAAAAAGAAAAAAAGGGTGTGATGATACAGTTATGATACAACGGATCCCAGGTGGAATGAGTCGGAGTAATCCACGCTTCTTCAACCGGTAACTGAGTGTTCAAGCCCACCAAAGAACCTACACACAAGTTCAACAGGGGAACGGGGAGTCCACCAGCGAACTCTCCGACGAGCAAGTTAGAGAAAGAGAGAAGTGGAATGTAGAGATATGAAATGGAGATAGAAAGCTTAACCTTCTTCTTATCTTCAACGTCTGCTTATATCCTTTGGTAATCATTTCGCCGTCCCTTCCGACCTGCCACCTTGGCCGAAAGTCTATGCTGTAGCTTACCTTGTTCAGGGTGAGGCGGTGTTGTTCCAACGGAGAGGTGTTGTCGTAATAAATGCTGTGATGGACTGCATTAATGGCGATGTGCAATGGCAATAACTTTGTAGATCTTTGTCTGCTGATGTGGCTTGTCCTTTACCTGCCACATGTCTGAATATCATTGGTTCTTTGTGCCATGTTGGCTTCCAACTGTTCAGGATCTCATCAGTTGGGTTATGTGTTGGGCTCTAAGTGATGGGCTTGGGTTGTTCATAGTGGGCTATGACCTTTGTGGGCCTAACCACGTCAGTAGTCCCCCATTCCCAAGTGCAGCTTTAGCCCAACGAAGGGAATACTAATGGAGAAGATGAGGAGGACCGACCGCAAAAGGTGGCTGAGTGGAAGGACCGACCGCGAAGGGTGGCCGAGTGGGAGGGCCGACCATGAGGAGGACCGACCGCGAAGGGTGGCCGAGTGGATGGGCCGACCATAAGGAGGACCGACCGCGAAGAGTGGCTGAGTGGGAGGACCGACCATGAGGAGGACTAACCGTGAAGGTGGAGGTGGGGGGGCGCGGGGTTCAAGAGGCGGCGTGTCACGTGATGACTTGAAGTGGAAAAGACAGGGCGATGAATCGTGATCGTACACGTGGCAACATCTCGTGGGGAGGGAGATTAGGCGTTGGGCCAGAAATGAAACGATAGGTCATGATGGGTGTTGAAAAGACAGTTTTGGCGAATGTTTTGAAAAGTTTTCAAACTGGCAAAAATTAATTGTGACCCGTGGAATACGGGCAAACCTTGGGCTTTTGGTATTATTCGATTTGCCTACTTCTTTGCAAAAAATAAAACATTCCAAATGTTAACTCCTTTGTTGCTGACGACACACCTCTGCAACATTTCTTGAATTTTCTTACACCCGCTTCCGAAGCTATTCGTAGGCACACCACAGAGATGGCTCAAGAAGAAACTGGAACCACCAGGGTTGATCCGTTTGGGGATGACGACGCGGTGGAGCTGGCAGAGCAGTATCGGACAGAGAGACAAGTGGAGAAGGTAGGGGAGCCGGTGGTACAATCCCATTCTTCCACCATGATAGCGGCTCCGAAGCTGATCAGCCAAGCGGAACCAGATCACTGGCATACGAAGGCTGACAAATCAACGATTACTGCAGTAGACCTGGAGGTTATGCGCGAAAAATACCAGGTTCCCGCTGAAATAGAGTTACTGTTGTCGTCGTCAACGGAGAGGCCATCCGATGCCCGGCTGGGGGAGTTTGCCCTGTATGAGGAAGCATTGAAAGAAGGACTGAGGCTACCACTTCCACAAGTGGTGGCTGATGTCCTAAACCGGTTGAAGGTAGCGCCGAGGCAACTAATGCCCAACGCGTGGAAGATCGTGTTAGCCTGTGCAAGCGCGTGGCCGAAGGCGACTGAAGGGACGGCTATGACGATGGATGAATTTTTCGCGTGTTATAAGGCCTCAGGACAGCAAGAGACTTGGGTGACGTTGCAGGCGGCGGCAGGAAGGGATCTGGTGACGGGGTTGCCGTCATCTATTAAGGGTTGGAGGCCGCGGTGGTTTTACGTGTCCGCGAATGGAGGGTTTGGGGTGCGTACGGTGTAGAGAGTGCCCACCAAATTTGTGGAGGCAAAACTGGGAGCGGCAACAGAGGAGAGGATAAAAAAAGTGAAGGCATGGAAGGAGAAGGAGGGAGTCAGGTGGGACGAACTCGTTCAACCTTCAGCCTTGTTTGCAGCGGGATTGGGTCCTTAGCCGAGCGTTGGAGATCTGGGATGGGCTAAACTAGAGGCGAGGAGGAAAACGCAAGAGGCTGAGGATATGGCCATCCTTGCCAAAGCCAGTAAGTTCAAAGAGTCCCAGGCAGACCAACCATCAAAATCGATCGCGAGGGAGAGGATCTGACCTCGTCCCAAACCCCTGGGGGAAAAAGACTTAGGTGGATTTGAGCCACGACCGCCCCCAGTTAATCCTTTGAAAGAGAGGGCCTACAAGGAGATGGAGGTGGAGGGTGTGGTAAAGAAGAAGAGGAGAGTGAGGAGGAGTGAAGAAGAGCCTTCCTTAAAGAGGAGGAAGGAGATGACGGCAGAGGAGACCCCCATGGCCAAGAAGGCAAGGGAGGAGGGGGTGGGGGAGATTCTAGGAAGGGTGGTTGCCCCAGAAGTGGTGGAGGTCGCCTCAGAGGTCATGGAAGTCGTCCCAGTAGTGGCGGAGATCGCCCAAGGAATTCAAGTAGAAGGTGAGGCAACTGGCCCTGAGCCGAGGGGAGAGGAACAGCCCCAGGGGGATCCTGCGTCCCAAAGAGGAGGGGGGGTCAGGTTAACGACTGCGATCTACTACACCCGCGCAATGTCTGGGCGACTGGAGGGAGAAAAAGGCCCAGCCAGGGCAGCTGCAGATCGCCTTGTTAGGATTGTGGACGAGGCGGCTGTGCACTCGGTAGCCAGGTTCAATGAGGTTGAGCTGCTAAGGGGGTTGTGCTCTACCCAAATGAAGGTAACCACCTTAGTTGGGGCTCTGCTGAGAAAGGCGGCAGCTGCAAAGGTCAAGTCGAATGAGGCCAAGGCTCAACTTGCAAACTTCAAAAGGGAGAGTGCAGGGTGGAAGAAGGCTGCGCGAAGCGCGTGCTCCAGAGGTTGGCAGAAAGCTAAAAAAGCTAAAAAGATGCAAGTGTCGGCCATTGTTCACTGCAATGTTGCCAATCGAGCCCAAGCTGAGCTGATCGCGGTCAAGTTGGAGCTGGAAGACGAACTCCGCCAGGTTGTGTCGCTCGAGTTCCCGCTGGCTGGCAAGCAGAAGAAGCTGGGGGATGCTCAAAGGACCTACGCGGTCGCCATTGAGCGGCATAAAGAGGCTATGACTAGCAATAAAGAACTGCGCGCCCAGCAAATCAAAGAAAAAGATGAAGCAGACGTGAAGATTGCTGGGCTACA